AAAAAAAAAAAAAAAAAAAAAAAAAAAAAAAAAAAAAAAGGTAAATAAATGAACTATTACGATGAGTTTGTTGCGAAAAATCGTCGAAAAGACAACGGACGATTCCATCAACTTGTTTTCGTACGTCGAGAGCAACGCTGCTCGAGTATACGTGTGGGTCGCGCGTTGAGAAAATTGTCTCAAGTGAAAATCCATAAAGTGGGAAAAACTTTTAGAACGAGCCGCTATTTTTGACGCGTTGAAAAAAGCGCATAGGACAAACCCCCACTGAGAACCAACAGTCTAGCCTTGACTGCGCGTGGGGGTTGCTATGGCAATACACCCTCCGACCCTCTGCCGCGACATCATCCCCCCCCCTCCCTCCGCAAGCTTGCTCTCGCCAAGAGACTAAGAGAGTGTGACCCCGACCTTTCAGGTGGATGACCTCCACTGCATCGGGCTGCGCGCGCATCCCCAGACCTCACCTAGACAGCTACCCCTCTTACGGACGGCCAACCCTCCAGCCATCGCCACCACTAGAACCTTCGTGAAGGGATGCAAGTGCGCTCCGTCGGTATCAAGGAGATTGCGCAATCGATGAGTTCCTCTCATCTTTTTCATCGGTCCAAATTTTCCCATTGACACGTCGCACCCATGAAATTTTTCGCCTGTTGATGGAAAAAAAAAAAGAATCTGCTGGAACAAAATTAAAAAAAAAATAGTCCGATGACCGAACACATTACATACGGACATGTAAAGTGCATAATAAAGTATGGATAAATATTTCAAAGTAAAATGTCCAATACTTTTTCACGTGTCCACTGCTGGCAGTGTAATGGATATTTTGGACGAAAGGTGGCAAAAGGGTTTTCGGTTACCACGGCCAGAATATGTTGGTTAAGGAAGAGATTGGTTCTCCAGTTTCGGTTTGACCCGGTTAGAGTTGCAAGGGAGACACGTAGGCTACGCCTATGCACCAGACGAGGGTTCCTCACCCCCTTCCTGTCGGTACTCTCACGTCTATGCGATTCAACCGACGGTACTCCTCCTCGCACACATAAGACTGACAGTAGAGAAGCAATGCTGTGTACCTATAGGAAATATCAGTAAGCACTTACGTCAGTGAGCAGCGAGTGTGCGATTTTAGGCTTTCCCGATATTTAGCCAACGTTGCCGAAGCTGGTTTGAATTACGTTCAGTCAACTTAGTAATATTATTATTAACCCGGGAACGGTCGCGCGCGATTTTCTTGTCCATTTGAAAAGCATTGAGTTGGACTGTCCGAGGACACTCCACGCAGCTACCCTCGGGTTAATGTAGTATATCATTACTGTTGAATAACAAAAAATATTGACCTACAGAAAGGTTCCATTGACACTGTCATCCGTGGAATTAATTTATTCGTGTTATCCGTTCGTGTATCAATCGTAAGTTGACGATCGCAATTTTTGTTCTGGAAAATAACGCGCTACGTCTGCAAAATTGTGGCAAACATTAATGGTATTTGCGTCTCACGGTATGTGAACAAGCAAAATTACTCATAAATCTCATGCCAATGAGAAGCCTGCTGATAAGGCTCCCGTAACTAAATTGTAGTAAACAGTCAAATAGAATGAATCATATATAAAATAAAATGAGTAATAATTAATTTAGCAGATAAGAGTATAACGGAATGCAATGACGATCAATGGCTCAAGACTAAACGGATAAATAAAAGCAACGTAATAACTCAACGAGAAAAATTTATAAATTGTTACTGATATCCAAATACTTGGCCATTCCCAGAAATCACTATACACTGTCTCTTCGACTTTTAGTCTTTTCAGCGACACTCCCTCGAAGCTCCCGCAGAGACGTATAGAACCATTGAAGATTCCAAAGCAAAAAACAAACGGAATATATGAAAATGACAAAAAGATAAAAAAGAAAAAGTCGGAGGTTTAAAGAAAAGTAACTAGAGAAACGGGCAGAGAAGTCAGAGATTCAAAATAATGAACCTTGTATATCTGTCTATCTATTTGGTTTTATTTATCGTCAAACCAATAAAAGAAATCTTCAAGCGATCTTATTCAAGCGTGCGCAATATGGAGTTGCTCACTTAATCTAAAGAAATCATAGGAAAGCAAATTCCTGATATCAATAGCCAAATAAAGTTACAGGGACGCGAAGAATTTAAAAAATGCACTTAATTATAATTATCAGACAAGCACTGAAAGCAGAGAAATAGAGTATTTCTTCGAATACATTGGGTATTTTCATGTCAATGAACAATAATCGAAACTCTACGCACAGCTGGAAGGAGTTGAGCACTGATTGCGGTCACTGTGCACTTCAAAAATATAAATTACAATTGATTTCTCTATCGAGCAGGATCTTTTCGTCCTGCGACATGATGGAACGTCAGAGGAATTCGAAAATTGACTCACCGATCGCAGTTCCCGTCAACGAAACGACAGCCAGTTAGATGCGTACTGTCCTGTGTTCCCGCCTTACACATTTCCGCCATCTTGTCTTCTCATTGTAAATTTCTTGTTTCAATGCAAATACTACAACAAATAACACAATTCAGTATTATTACGATAGGCAGGACAAATCACGACATTCCGTATACGCAAGAGAGTCAAATTCAAGAAACATTTCGTATGAAAATTTCGAAACAGAAATGTAACAATGGCCGTCCTGGCGTTTTGTCACTTGTTGCGCAATAAAAATTTCGACTACTCACTATATTTTTTGAAAAACATCACTGGCACAACCAATAATACACTGAAACCCGAGGAAGCACTGAATAAAATCACACTTATACGTAAAACTCCTGCCACCCGCACTACACTTCCCGAGATAAAAGAATAACCGATTCGACAAAGACCCTCGTAACGCACGAGAACGGTTGCTATTGTCGATGCGTTCGAAATGATTTTTCGAATATTCTCGCCTCACCACTATTTCCTAAACCTAGCACTTTCTCAACAACCTCTAATCATCTCAGAAGTTCACAATGACACAAATTCGAACTAGTTTCCCGAAAACGAATGCGAATTTATTATGATATAACAGGAGACTACACGAGACGACACTCGCGACTAACATTCCGAACGACAATGCCTTCTTGACTATGACGAGCATAGACTACGCACTTCATAAGGCCCACAAGCCATCTATCGCACTCTATCCCAACGGCGTTGCTTAAACAAGTCGATTGATGAACTTCAAAACTAGAATACACAAATATATTATGTTTGATCGAAGAAAAAAAAAGTATATATGTAATAAATTTTCAAAAATCATTATTACCTATTTTAAAAGCGCAATATCTCAAAAATATATTTCTTAAGATATTCATTTGTTCGATCGATTCCGAAGTATCGTAACGTGTCTTTACTTGTCGTAAGTGCATGAAAGCCAAATGCATTGATACTCTCACGTGTATAAATAAAAGACATACATATTAACGGCCGAACGGTGATAAAAATATCTTCGAATCATGGTAAGTTCTTATTTAATATAAATAAATGTATATTCTATATTAATTATCATGAAATTCCTTTACGTTCTTTTTATTGCCTCATACGATCTTCTTTTTCATATTGCCATTACATTTTTCTCCAATTTTTACTACAAATCGTTCGAACTCCCAGCCGTCTCCAATTACTCGTTAATTAGTGACTATCCCCGGTGAATATGACCAGGATGAAGGATTGGGGTAAACCACCCTCTCACGTTCTATCCTTACGAACGAGGTAGGTCGGTGTACGTTTCGCCGAGCATGAAGTGTGCAATTAGTGTGTCTCGCGTATGCACTTCCATACTGGAAACTGTGTTGCAGACATTTTGATATACGTACAAAAGCTTAGTACGCAGTTCATGTGCTTCTTATTCTGTCTATGGACTAGTCGTGCAAAACTGCACGTAGACCATCTCGTACTGATAGGACGAAGAACGATGCATCCCTCCTGGCTAAAGTGCAATTTCGCTAGACTATCTTCACGTGATAAAGCGAAATGCATTAAGGATATTCGCCCCACGTATATTAGGCTTTTATCAAGGATCTTTTGGCAATTCTTAATCCACGATTTAATGACCCCATGACTGCAGTACGTACACCTGCATCGCGTGCATCGCAAAACGCATCGATCGCTTATGACTTTACATACATAAAATGCATAAAGCCAATTCGAATCCTCGAATATTTTAAAGGAATTATAAAAAGAGAGTGAATTACATGCGTTATATTTTTTTATTTACAAAGAAAATAAATCATCAATTTCATTGATGATATAATAATTCTTGATTCGGTTATATATTTATTTAAATAATTTATTACAGCACTTTGGAACTGTATTATAGTCGTCATACAAACTCGCCTTAGCAATAACGTCATTCCTAGTACCCGGCGCACCTATTAGCAAAAAATGCTCACCATTAGAGAACTCTAATATAACCATATGGTCAGTCAGGCATGATCGGTTTTTGAAAAAAAACTTTTTTCACCTTTTTTCGAACCCCAATAATACCAGTTGTAGCAAACAGGAAATTTTTATTGTTTCAGATATCGTATTCCTTACGGAGCAGAATTTAATAATATTCTTCCTGCCAGCCGTTACGTCGTCTACACAATTTTGAAAAACTTGTGAACTTCGACATCCGTCTGAATCCCTTTGTAAGAACTGATGAAATCGTGGAGAATCACGAAAGATTTATAAATCTGGGTATGAAGTTACGTATCACTCGACACGTAATCATGATTAATTAAAAACGGCTCTGCCGTATTCGGCCCTTTGCAGAGCGTCAGCCGACGGCGGGCATCGATCGGATGCGAGGGTCGTCGTCCGTACAAAGAGGCGTCGCACGTATTCTGTTCAAGGATCAAGCATACCTCCATCTCTAGGCTCGATATTTTCTTAGTAACCGATCAAAATCTCCTTGCCGATATATACGAAGGTAAGATATTTTTTCTCAAAATCTCGCAAAAAAAATATTAAAAAAAAGTAACACAAGTTTACACGCATACATTGTTCCCAACAGCGACGATGGCGGACCAGAGTGAAGAACGCATATACCAAAAAAATATTGAAGCTGAAATGTGCATTTCTCATTGGGAACGTTCAGATCTCTCGTGCAAAAAGATCATCCCCTGCGAAGCCTATTCTTCGTCTGTTCTTCGTGTGGCTGCGCCACAGGTCCATAAACGGCAGGATTATTCCTTCAGGAACCGGAGAGCAGAAAGATCGCCCTCGACCGAACGGCCTCTTCGAGGCTTCCAGGACTGTGGCAGGAGAAGCTTGGGGTTTGAGGTCAGACAGTCGTTGGCCCCGTTTCGCAGGATGCCACCATATATTTTCCCAGTACTGCAGGGCGAAGCACCCCTTTCGCAGCCGACAAAAAGTGGCTTCACGCAAATAGGATATCGGGGACGCCCTCTTGGGTAAGAATTAACGTCCCCTCGCGCTAGTGCGAATCAATCTGCGCATAAGGTAAATTTTACATCCATGTGTTTTGACTTGATCAGTCTCGAAATGAATTTTCATCCTCCTTTCTGTACCGTCTAATAGCACCGAGCGAAGAAGCTTCATTGGCTCGCAGTTAATATTAATTATTGACACAACGCAACTGTTATTAAAATGTATCGAGCACCGACGAACACTTGCTTATCTCTAATGGCTGATAGGTACACGAGGTATCTACGTGTGGAAGAAATAACCAAGAGTGCTGGCTATGATTCCGAAAGCAAACAGACTTATTTTCGTCTTTCACTCTGAACTTTCTGATCTTGCGTGTAAACGTGGTAGAGTGATTTCTTCGCATCATTACAATAGCTAGTACTAATAATAACGTGGAGAAGCAACGAACGTGGAAGAGGCAGGATAATTGCGAGAAACACAGCGATATTGCATTTCAAGGTTCTATTTGTTTGCTGCGCTTGTTCGTTACTCGGCTAAATCTTTGACGAAGCATCGATACTTCAGGAACTGAGAACGATCAGTTTCCTCCTATTTCGTACGATCGATCATAGACCCACGAAGAGTAACGCATCCTGCATGTCACGTGTATTACGTGGCACAGTGCATTATCCGATTTTCTACACGTCACGCGTAGGAGTGGCATAGTCTCGGTGTTCCCATCGAGAGAGGGAAAGTTCGCCCCAGTGCCTCCATCCTGTCTGCAGTGTTCACCCCCCGAGTCTGCCGGCAGACTGGAGTCCCACCCCCGTCTAGTCAGGGTTGCTGCAGTCACCAAGGGTTGCCAACGCACTGTCTGGAGAGTGGAAAGAAATCGATTCCTGCATCTTTCCTGCCCTCCGTCCCGCCATCGAGCGGGGGGTAGTTTCAAAAATACATATACACAACGGAAGACCATTAACTCAGTTGAAACTCACGGTAGATTATATTCGTTAGAATAAGCATTACTCATCCTACGGGGAGGTCGGGTCAAGAGTCATCCACAACGTGGTGATTTCTCGTTCCACCAGTGTTTTGTCATTGGGACGGATACGACTTGCATTAGCAAATAGCGCAGCACTGTGCAGACTCGTATTTTTCAATGGATCCTTTCAAAGTTGGCAACCGTCTTGTCTGCGGGTTGATTCCTTTTTGCTCGTTCAGGTTGGCTGACTGGCTGGCTGGCTGCTCTCGTAGGGTTGCAAGGGAGTAAGAAGAGGGAATAAGAAGTAAAGAGGTCTAGGTAGGGAAGGACGTGGAGAAGGTAGATGAGCCCTAGGTAGAGGTAGGTAGGTAGGTAGGTAGGTAGGTGTTACGAAGGGGTCAGAGTGCGGTGGTCTCTCTTCCTACGTGAACTAAAGTTTGCCCCAGTACGTTGCACCCTCGACGTCGTCTATACTCCCGGTGCTCCTGTATTCCCGTAACTCCGTGCCACCCCCGTGTTTCGCTGCACCGCTGCCGACGCCGACGTCGAAATCAATACCGGCAGACATCCTAACTCACTGGAGGTCAATGCCTCGTTCCCGCGGACCCCGACTACGACTTGCTCGACGACCTCAACCTCCTACCTTCTACCCTAGAACCTCCAGCCCCAGCCTGATCCAGAAGCCAGACGGGAGCTTTGCCAAGAGCCGAACGAGGACGGAAAGTCGGGATAGCCTCTTGCGATTCGACTCTGAGGAAGCTGGGGAAAAAAAGATTCATTCTGTCTCTTGGAATTGCCTTTCAAAATTTTCATCCTACCGCGATAATTATCGCTCTTTGCTTTTTATTCTTTTCTAAGAAATTCCTCGTATCCCCCCATTTCCCCCCAACGTCCTCTCTTCTTCATTAACGTGGAATTCTGGCTCATCCTGTCTCCTTGGTGTAAAACAAGAGTCAGCGACCGTGCATAATTCTGCGTACCGTGATTCTTCACTTTTATCAAGTGTGGTTTCAGCCTTTTTCTACCGATCTCGTCTCACTCGTCTTATTCTCAGCTGGAGAAGTGAGGTCGCCCTGTCGTTCACCTTTCTCCTATTCACGGATCCAAGCAGAAAAGAGCAAGATCAAAGTGAAAAATTTTCTTATCGAGAAAGAAACTGAGAAAAATTTAAATAAATGGCGTGCGCCGTGGGGAAGGCTTTGCCAACGTAAACACAATAATATTAAACCAGGTGTTTGTTAAATTAATAAGTCCGAATAACAATAACAAATATTCTTGGAACTGTGGAGGGTATCAGTGAAAAAGTCATTTTGTAAAATAACAGACTTTTCGGACAAAGACTTATGTTGCTCATTTACTTTTCAGAATGGATCGTGGAGGATAAGTAAAACGTGCTGATATAGGAAGAAACCTGCATTACCGGCAGGTCGATGCTATGGGGTAACCGTGAAAGCGTTTCCTACCAACCGAACGGAATTGAACGAGGGAAACAAAGGCATTGACATTCAAAAGGGACGCCTCTCGAGTTCGCCAGACGAAACCTTCGAGTGAAATTGCGGAATACGAAAAATTGCACTAGCATTTTCACTCTCCCTGCCACGTTCGTACAGCATCGTTAAAAATACCTAGTCAACCAGGTGCTGTTTAGTTTATTATAAATAAACGCAATTTAAAATATTAATAAATATATTTTCAGCTTTTAACTTTGGCAAAAGCCACGATTCTTGCAGCCTTACGTTCGTCACTGAGTATTCCAGGCATCCCTTTGATCCGCTTAGTTTTTGAACACGGAATTTCGAACTTTTGGAAAAATCGCAAATTACTTCTGAGAAAAATTGCACGAGGTCACTCGGGTCGTGAGTATCGTGCGAAATTTGGAATTTTACAAAATTTTCGGTATTAGGGACCAAGAGGAGAGTTTGGCATTGGAGGTACCCTCGGAAATTCCGAAAAACACTAAGCACTTCTCGGGGGAGCTAAAGCAGCTCCATACTGTAAAATTAGAAGGAACGTTCAACTCTACCATTTGAATTTCTGCCAAGGTACTTTCTGCGCTTGTGTTTCTCTTCTTCTACCCCTTGATGGCTGCTCCGTTCTGCCAGCCAGGATGGCACCAATGCCCTCCTTAGAAAGTTTCACGAATCTCCAACCCACTGTACGTGACATTTGCTATTGATAAAAAAAAAGTATAAAAATTAATAATTAATTTATTCGACGTTATATGCTTTCATAAATATTCTTTTTCTTTTCTTATAGCATTTTAAAAAATCTTAATTAACGAACGCAGGTATTCCAAGTCCAAGTAATCAGGATCTGCATCTTGTCAGTCTAGTAGCACTTCGGTGCCGCACTTGGACTATACTTAGCCGCTGGAACACGTTAACGAGTGTTTTATTTTTCAGGGCAGTGTGTTCTCCCTGCCTGACGTCTCGAGGATCCAAGTTCATCTCGATCCAAACCAGCTTTCAGTATTCAAGGCGTTACGGACTGATGAGAATAGGGGATGCGAGCACTAGACAGCCAGAGGGAGTATACAGGGGGAGGACAGCATTTTTCTACACCTTGTAAAACCCCGTATTATCCCCTTACGGGTGGAAAATTGGATTACGGGTGCGGATCGTCTGAAAAATTTTATCAAGAATTCCATATCAGTGGTATTAAATAAATTTAGTATAATTATCAATGCAATTATAGAAAAAGTTTTTCATTAAAAATTCGCAATAAATTAGCAAACTTACTTTTTTTTTTTCAAGGTTTCGTACTCCTGTACATTATGCGCACGGCAAAGCTTCCTTAAAGCATAATGGCATTTTCTACAGACACTCTTTGTTCCATGAGGGTAGCAACCCTCTTCGACATCCACCCCACTTTCTTTGCGTCGATCGATACCAGGATGCAACTCACGGTCACGACGTAAAACATTTTCGTTGCAGACTGTTCTGCAAGACATAAAAAAAAAAGAAAAAAAAATACAGGGTCACAGCGGTCTAAAAATTTGAGAATTTTCTTTTTCGTTCACCTGTACCGCAGCTGTTGTTATTGACTAAGAAGCAGATTTCTTAGGTTAAACAAAATGTACAAAGCATTCACAGAGCCAAGTAAAACTGTCCAAGATCCAAAAATTCGTAGCATATCAAACGAGGCGAGTTTACGTACGATGCAGTCTCCGTGTATCAGCCAGGAATAGCATCGGGACGCTACTCGGGTGGTAGGAGCGTTCAGCAGTTCAAGGTTAGGGACGCGGGGCGTCGGCACCGCGTGGTAGCGTCGGCGTGCGTCCCGACGCCCGAAATACATACCCCCCGACAGAGTATAAATACTCGAAGGAAAACCAAGAAAGAGAACGTCGAAAGATATTCGGTGCATCCCACTAACCTTGCACCAACTGCAGTTAAAAATATGAACTTATAGCGAGGGAGTTCCTTGTGGGCACGTGAAAGGAAAGAGAGTCGCGGAGTCACGTTCGATAATTTTTGAAAAATCCAAAAAAAATTATCATTCCCCTGTACAGCAATCGTCTCTTTCAATGATTACACGAAATTCTTGTCGGTTTAAGTAATTTAAAAAAATAGAATTTTTATCTAAATCGATTTTTTATCCACCAATTAATAAATAATTTTCACACAGATATTCTTTCCCATGGATATGTTTGCCTTGTTGATGCACGATAGTAAGAACGTGACCTTTGATGTACATGCACGGCCCACGATGTGTCGATGACACTGTGGTCTATTAAGATACCCCGAAGAGGTGAGTTTCAGCCTTTGTCTCGATCTAACCACGGCAGCCATTGAACTCGATCGTCGAGGACAACACACTTTGAACTATGCGCGCGCGCGAATAACTAGAATAACACGGATTCACGATGCAAACGTATTTCACGTATTGGTTCACTTTCTGAGGCCGAATTCGTGGAGGGACCGTTTGGTTATGTTAAAAACAAATTTTACATGTTCAGTGTATATATATATTGAATACAGGTATTATGCGAAATGATAAAAGTGTCAAGTAAAAATTGATAAAAAATTGTAAAAATGTGGAATGTCGGAATTTCGAAAATTTTTATATTTTTCAATAGTAGGTTACTATTTTTCATAAAAATTATATACGAATTCTTGGCTGCAGTTGCATGTGGAGAGCGATAAATCAAGACTGTTTTCTCGGCTATTATCTGGCTAGACAGAAGCAAACAGGAGATAGTAAGCATCGTGTTCTAATATATCGTGTAGACCGAATTTTCCATTCTCTATACGTATTCACGTATGCGTCCCTATTGTTCCCTGTTATCCATAAGCGAGGCAAAGGTCGCCCAAGTGATTTTTCGTTCGATCAGCCCAGGATGCACCGGAATTGCATAGTAAAAGAAAAAGTGCACCTTCCTCTGGTCATAAAAAATATGAACGTTAAGTAATTTTTCATGCTAAGAAAAGCGAGCGATAAAACCAGTAAAATCTCTAGGAATGCATAGATGTGTTTAAAGATAGAAGATGCTGCAGCGAAAGGTACGATGCACCTAAGTGCAGTCGGGTCAAGGCCGTATCCCTCGTGCGGTGGGTCGGCTGAGTCATTCGTGCAGAATCGTGCATTGCAGTCCCCGCAAGTGCATCGAACTCGATGACCGCTGCAGCTGCAAGCAGCCTCTCTGCCCTAAGACTAGAAGGCGGTGCAAGCTCGGGACTCGGTTAGCTCCGGGATTGCTCGGGCATCTCCGGATGCATTCCGCGTGCATCAACCCGAAGAGACCGCCCTCTAGAAACTACCGAGTGCAATGCCCAAAGCCGTACAAACTCCGTGACGTGCATCTGCTCCTAAATGATTGCGTAGCTCGGTGCAAGGACCACCCGCCATAACAAGAGATCACGTAAAAGCATATACAGCCAATGAAAATGCATTGCCCTCTTACGTCATCGGTGCTGCATTCTTTTTTAAATGCACACAACGCACGCCTATAACGATTCCCAAGCAAGAAAATTAAATGAAAAATACAAAAATCAAATTTACTCGAATATCACAAAAAAAAGGTGGAACTTTGAATTTTCGAATTTTTCGAAATTTATTTAACATTTTTTGCCTAATTTTTCAGCCACCTCCTACCACGTTGCGGGTTCGTTTGAGAAACCCTGAAGGGCCGACGCACCGTGCAGGGTGAACGCACTCGCCAGTTTTGCAGTACACGTATGTACTGTACGTAGGTACGTATCAAGATACACCAACTATGCACTATGGCGTTCCTGCACGCTATATATATATACATATATATATATACAATGTCTGCGTGACAGTGTGCTACGTAGCTGGCAGCATTATGAGGTCTCGCCTGAAATGGAATAGTGGAGTCGAGAGAGTAGAGCCAGCCATCACACTGCACAATATATAACCTAAACGTACGTATAGATAAACGTATTACATGGGGTACCGTGCCCATAGCCCCATACGTTTAAACCATAGGGGTTCAGCGTCCCCACACAAGGCCGCAGGGGGGCACCGGCCCACTGAACCAATTGCGCCACTTTTATCCTCCTCAGTTCATTTTTGCCAGCTTTTATTACCCGTAAAGCGTCTTTCGCGTCCCTAAGCATAACGTACCGCGCGTCAAGCTACTGGAACACAACGGCCCGCTATAGCCAACCTGATAAACGGTGTCACTGCTGCACGCGTGAAATTCAAATAAAAAACTATCCTACCTCGGTACACATATTTTTCCTGCTCTTATTAATTTCTTTAGCCACAGTTTCACGAACCCTTATCACCATAGCGAAACAAGACCTGGTAAAAGGAGACGTTTCCAAGACGATGACTCAGAAGACACATGAGTCAGAATGCAATCGATTCCAGACTACATATGCCTGTGTAGAAATCCATAAGAATCAATGGACACCATACGTTTCTTTTACCGTGGGTTTTATACGAGTAGGTGTATATCCAGGGTGAGTCACCGTGTTTCCATTTTGAAAATTGACCTCCGGTCCCAAAACGATGGGGATGATTTTCTTTTTTTTTTTTTTTTTTTTTTTTTTTTTTTTTTTTTTTTTTTTTTTTTTTTTTTTTTTTTTTTTTTTTTTTTTCATAGGGGATCATATTTTTACACGCGTAACCCATCCGGTCGGTATAAATATTCTGAGCTGCAGTACTTAATTTTTATTAATTACAGGGATACCTCGCGGTATTTTTATATCGATCGAAGGTGCTGATTCCTCCAGTGCATAATTAAGGATGATCAATTTTGTTAACGTAGACGCACGTCTGCCGTCCTGGCTGGCTGGTATTTGCGAACCCCGGGAAATGCGTTTGCGTTTGGGAACCCCCAGACTGGAGGGGATTGACCCAGACACCCCTTCCAGCAGACAACCCTCCCTCCGGTACGGCTCCGTTGCTTCTAAAACCCCAGCAGTCAAGGGATGGGCTGTATACCAGCCCTCCCTCCCTGCCCCCTCATCCTTAATAAAGCACCCACGCACGATGGACGCAGCATCGTACCTTCTGTGTATTATATGCAGAAGAAAAAAAAAACTGTTCCACGTAACTCCCAGGCGAATATTTTCATCCCTTAAATTTCCTTCGTAACTCTTTCTCGTCCTTTTTCACTTTTTTTTTTATACGTTACCTAATAACGAGTTGCAAGACTATGTAATCACGAGTCTTTATCTACGCAGCCAGCGTCCTACCCAACGGCGTAATCGCGTATAACGAGCGATAAACAAATTTCAACCCTCAGCGTGAAAAAAAACCGTGCAGATCCCCATGTAAAATAAATTGCGACCACACATAAACAACTCGTAATTCCTCCTTGAAATATTTGTCCATGAACATAGGGATGGGATCTGTAACCTCGTGGAAGCAAAAGTCTGCAAGAAGTCAGAGCCCTCCACTTCGTATCCTGAGCAATATAAAATTCCACAAGAGTTATTTTATTCGATTGGATAAAAAAAGATTGTTAATAAATAATTTGTTTTTAATTACCTTTAATATGCATCGGCCAAATGCATAACTCAGAGCATATTGATTGCAAGTGAACAAGTGCCGTATAAGTACTATGTTTCCTTGTTGGTATCTGCACTGTGTATAGCGAACAGGGGTTGCGAACCCCAGCCAGCCAGACAGACGTGAAAGAGGGTGACCCAGACGCCCCTTCCGCCAGGATGTTTGCAAGCCGTTCCCGACTGCCACATTGGATAGCGTTAGCAGGAACGTCCTATAGCGGTTACCATAGTTATCTTGAATGTACGTTCTGCTGCACTTGAAAAACACAATACGGATACTTGTAATAATAATAATATTTAAAGTATTACGAAACAGCAGATACCAGTGAATAAAGTTTCAGAGGTAATAGGAGTATACCGGTAGAGACAAGGGAAGTGAAATAAGGGTGAGAGAAGAGCCGCGTCGACGATGGAGACGGTGATGGTGGTGGTGGCAGGACTGGGTGGTGGTAGGTTGGCGGCCCTGGAGTTGCTGACCCGACGACCGCTATAACCTTGCGCCCCAATGCGAATCCAGTCGATGCTCCACACGTAGAGATGATTAACCGATCCTCAGGATTCTACGAAGCTTTCGTGAACTAGACTCTGGATGGTGAAATATCATCTGAAGATTTCTTGCTCTGTGATACGAATACATGGGAGTGATGCAAGGACGTTGGAGGATTGTGGAAATTGCGTCGGCGTCCGGGCGCCCACGTACTCCCTTGGTAATACGTGGAAAGATCAGAGTGACTCGAGCCAATTACTATTTGAGATCTGTATTACCTACGGAATTCCATGGATATGTATACTGAATATTCAGTTGTCATTCATTTTATATGTAGTATAATGGGATGTGGGAAGGTCATGGTGGATGAAATTTAACTTTTGCCTATAGGTATAGGTCTGTACATTAAGTGCAATCAAGGGAAGGATATTTTTGTATTTTTAGAAGTGATCTCTTACCTTTTTTTTTATTTGCACTTTGCATGAAAACTTTCCTAGGTATCCTTTAAGTTGTTTTCAGAATCACTGGGGATGATGGAAGTCGGTTGTTTTTCTGAGTGGCCTCGTGCTACGGGCACAGCGGGGTGCATTGAGTGTAATGGCGGACGAAAACGTGAATGCACGTTAAACAACCCCATACGTTGCAGCTTGTTAAAAATAGGCGACGGGAGGCGTCCCGACGGCAAGGTCACCCTACGTCTGGGTCAGGGCCCTCGGATAGATCAACAAACATCTATCCTTCAGCGCCAGCTATTTTCTTCCAGTTAGTCTCGATTTCTGCTGAGATTCTCCATGTGTATACTATTTGCGAATAGTTCGGTTATACTCGCACTGAGGGTCGTGCCGGGATGAAAACTCTCGTTGAAGGTAACACGGGTTACGTGACTTGTAAAACGTCACGGTTCAATGTACTGTACGCAATAGGGCAACGCCCTACGAGAGCGTTTAAATATGTGTATATAAATTGCACACCGATTACCATGTTTATCGCGGCCCACGCTAGAGCTTTGCACCCAGTCGAACGTCTTGCCAAGCTCTTTGAACTTGCAACAGAGAGTAACATGTTGTTCCATGCGCGTTTAATTTCTGGAATATTGTAGCAACTGTTTATAAAACTATCTTTTATGGACAGTCGATACAGAAGTGTTACCGGCGAATGGTAACGCGTGCTAAAAGATTTCTTAAGATAAAAGGACTAGTTATGCCCAGTTTCAAACAACTCGGAGTATCTTTATTGCTACGCTCTCTGGTGGATATTTTAGTAACTAATATAATTTATTAATTCAAACTTTTCACGAGAGATACCAGGCCTTTGGAAAGCTGGTGCATGAAGGTAGTGGGGAGAACAATGACGAGCCTCGTAGCTTCTTTGTTCCACTCGCTAGTTCTGTATTCATTGCTTCCTTCCTTTACAAAGTCTATACGCAAGCCAATCCGCAGCCTCGGCGAAATTTACGCACAGGAATATCACTGACGTGTCCCAAAAAGAACTACTTCTACGACTCATGATTAGTCTCGATCCCTGTAAAATTGCAGAAAGTTGATCAGTCATCGCGTATCCGAACGTTTCAAGTGTTGTGTTACGAGTGAGGAAGAGATAAAGAAGCCATGGCAGCGACGTTAAACACCTTTGTAAATTCCTTCAGTAACAGACTGTGAGTACGTGACGGGAGTCTCCTTACCCCATTACCGAAATAGCTTATTTGTTTACAAGGTCTTACTCATACGCGACATTTTTTTTTGGTAACGATACTGTTCCGCTTTCTCGAAAAATCTCATCTATTCGAATCTTATCGTACTGTTTGTCTTAATATCGATGATATAATTTGATATCTCAATAAAACTAGTGACGTAACTTTTGCAACGCATTTGCAATGTAAATTTTCTATGTTGCAATTTATCACATTATATGTGTTGTTTTTTCTTCTCAGGGAAGCACCAGTGAGACAGCATTTAAAAAATGTTTATGGTTGTTTGGCATTGACGACTGTGTCCGCAGCTGTGGGAGCTTGTGTACATTTGTACACAGACTTACTGCAATCAAGCTTGCTTACGACCCTAGGAGCTCTAGGAGTTCTAATGGCACTGGTGTCCACCCCAGACAACGGTAAAAATCATGGACTGCGCCTGTCATATCTCTTGGGATTCACATTCCTATCTGGTCTTGGACTGGGTCCTTTGCTGAAAATAGTCATCAGCATTGACCCTAGCATCATCGTGACGGCTTTGATGGGTACGTCTTACATGCAACCTTGTTTTGAACTGATTTTAATATTTATGTATTGTTTGTGTTTCAGGAACTGCCGTTGTCTTTGTCTCCTTTAGCATTTGTGCCCTTTTGGCTGAACGAGGTCAATGGCTATACTTGGGTGGCACCCTGATCAGCATGTTAAACATGATGTTGCTGTTCTCACTTGCCAATCTGTTTTTGCGTTCAACCTTGATTTACCAGGCACACATGTACCTTGGACTGTTTATGATGTGTGGATTTATCATTTACGACACACAGCTGATTATTGAAAAAGTCCATATGGGCAATAAGGACTTTATCAGTCACTCTCTTGATCTCTTCATAGATTTCATTGGAGTGTTCCGTCATCTTCTTATTGTTCTCACTCAGAAGGTACATAACTAAGTACAATTTTTTTAATGTCTCGAAAACAAAGTGAAATCCGCGTCCTCACTTAATATACTATATCAGTTATTGGATTAACTTATGTTTTCTCTTTCAGGAGCAAAATCGTAAACGTAAAGATTAAGAAGAGAATGAAGAGGGGATTGCGTCGTCACAGCATTTGAATAAATTCATAAACTAGAGGTCTTCATCTATCCTATCCATACATAGCTATGCATATATAGATACATATGTCTATTCTATTGATTCATGAAAGAAAAACATAATATGAAACTATATTTACTACAATAAAACTTACTGATAATAGAGGTTACAATGGATATTAAGGTTAAGAACAAAAAAAATTCATTCGAAAAGAATCATGAAAAAAAAAAGTTAATTTATTAATTATCTCTTTCTCATTGTCTCATCAATTCTTTGTAAATTGAAACTCATTCCTTTTTTTTTTTATAATGAAACAAACATTCATCGAGTCTCGAGGCTTTGTTTTTATCATAAGAATTTGAAAGTTCCACTACTGTGTTTGATATCGTCAGAAGCTGGGAGCGTTTTACACAGTCATGTTCTCCCTCCCCAGTACCGAAGAGGAACCATCATAAATTTATATGCCTACAACAGACATAATTATTACAAACGTTTTTCTTCTTATTGGCAAAAACACTGTTATTATCTAGTACTAATAATAATTCATACCGATAATTGTCACGTTTTTCGGCATGCGTAACCGGTGAATTTCTCGAAAAATTAACATTCTCCAATTTATGTCAGCCGTTATGTCGTCCCGCACAGTTTATCCATTAGTAGACATTTTACTGAGTCGAAGCTTAAGCCACTCATAGAATATCATTTCCATTTTAAAGTCATCTTGAAATCCTTTCCGTTTGGAACCTTTCATTGATATTCTTCGATCAAACTTCATCTTGCTTGGTATTCCTACAAACGACTTTGTTAGTTTTTCATATTATCATTCAAAGAAGCTTCAAGCTGCAAACTTACGAAATTTCGAGTAAACTTCTAAAGCGCCGTTAAAAAAATATGGAAACGTATTCTCAAGGACCTTGAGGGTGACTTCAATGTCCTCCAGGATGCCTACCACGGGACACCAACGTAACACATTCGTTTTAGCTTGTTCTAGAGCCCAGCTGCTATTTCTTTGCCTAAAAGTCAAAGTGAATTAAAATAGACCTTGGTCTCTAAACTAGTTACTTTAGTTCTATTTAGTGTATAGCATTCGCTACTTTTTCCCACGATCATTTCTTGCGTAACTTAGCTCAACCTGAAAGCCACCAGAGACTTCGCGATAGGAACACGTACCCACGTCGAGAACTTTCGAATGAACGATGGCCGCTATTGCGCAATGCTTTAATATATACATGCATACAGTACTTTTGCATTAGTCAAAGTTAGTTCGAAGAGTCTCGTTAGAATATATATACAAGTATATTGTGCATATAAATTTAATGAAAGTATATTTACGTGCAACGTGGATCCTGTCCGCAGAAATGCAATATCGATCCATGTCTTGTCTCTCCTGGTCTGAAACTTTTGTATGTGGAACAGACAAAATGTTTATTTTTATTTCTTACATTACCGTAAAGGCTGCAGGGCGTTGTTAAGAAAATTTAAATTTGTATAAATAAAAAACAATACCTTTTGAGGTTTCTTGGATCTAGCGGATATCGCACCAGTGATATATACGTAGGCGATTGTCTGCCAAAAGCAGAAAAATTCAAAAATCGTACATCACCATCAAAACTTAATGGTACAGCCTCTTGTCGGATGATACTGGTGATCTCTTCGACCAGCAGTTCCTGTGAAAATAAAAATTATTCATTTTGATGGCTATCTGTTCAGTCCTGACGAATAGCGGGTTGCCTATACACAGGCGTAATCGTTCAATATCAAAGCACGTGGGGTTGGGGAATAATTGTTGTTCTCTTAATGCCAATCGTTTATCTCAATAATGATAATGACTCGAATATAAACCATATATAACAAGTAATCTTTCATATACGTAGAGTATTTGATTAATCTAAAACAATGCATTGTGAAAATATATTAATAATATTTAATATTTTATTATATTCAATGCTCTTAGAAAAAGAGATAGAACGCAGGGTATAATCACTTTCACCTATGGTCAACGCACTTTGCAGAAACTATAGCATATAGAGCATATAAACTGACAGTCTCAATTCGTAATGAAATTTACTATACAAAAGTGTATTAGAGATTACCAGAGGCGGAGTCTGTATAACATTTCTTCCTGTCTCTCAGGAGCGGCGAGTAATTGTATCAGGGAGTATTGCTAAATGGCTGAACAATATGAATACAATATAGTAGTGTAACACAAGCTTGTACGAATCGTTTATTTCGTATATTCCAGCACGTTTCGTAATCGTGTCTATGAGTAAGGAGGAAAGAAACTTGACACGGTTACCTGTTGGAGGCTGGTAAGAAGTCCGTCGTCTCCTGGTGGCAGTCTGATATGCTTGAATGCATTGTAACCCTGAAGACGTTGTAGAATAAGCACAAGGATTTCTGCGCCGGCTCCAGGTACCCGGGTCAACATCAGGACATGGTCATTCTTCTCAGGAGGTAGATTCCCACGACCTCCTAGTTCAGCGAGCGAAGGCGTGACGTAGCGATGAGTCTGTTTATAAAAGAGATAAAATGGATGCTTTAAGTAATCATCGATCGTGCCATTATATAGTTTGTTTATTGTAAAATTGTGGATATGCATCTACTGTCATTAGAAGGACTACCATTCTTGGATGGTACGAGAGGAATTCTAAGATTACTGCCATTTACGATTCTGGAGAAAATGAGGTCGCGTGGAAAACAGCTTTCACGAGTAATTATCCTTATCTAGTATGTATGTAGGTTCAAAGCGATTTTCAGAAACAGGGATATCCTTCACCTGTTGCGGATCATTTCCCGTGTAGGATGAAACGGTTGATTCTGGGTTCCTCATAGAAATGCTAACAGGAAGGTATCCCGAGTCGTTAGTTGTTATCACGTTGACAATGAGAAGAGTGAACGTCAGTGAAATCAAGATCACTATGATGATAGCGCGATAAGAACGCATTTTTGTCGTAAATTTATTGATCCTTTCGATTAGCGAGATATCGGTAAGGATTCGTGCAAACGGAGTCGAGTCCGTCGTACAACTGACGTGAATGTTATTAGGTCAGACTCCACCGACTCTACCCGAGACCAATTGGTCCCCACGTCTTCTCGCGCTTCTCCCTTCTCCAGTTGAGGAAGACACAGAGGAAGTGGTACCGAGCGAGAGAAGATTGCTGTAACATTATAATAAAGATAGTTAGTATGGTTGTCGCTAGATGCTGACTATTGACCGGCCGGCAATCGGTTCGCAGTTGTGGTGGCGCAACCAGTCCACGTGGTAAAATACTGTAGCCTTCGAACATTCTAGTTTATTTGTAAACAGTTCCTCGCGGAAGATGGACGTTTACGACAACCGAAGAAAGAATTGGGAGGACTTGGACGTTACCCGGGAGGAGATTGAGAGCCTTACGGAGTGCTTGAAGAAGGAAGAGTTCCGGAAGCTATTGATTGAATATGCTGAGGAAGTAACTGACCCCGATAATAGGAAGATTTACGAGAAGGAAATTACGCAGTTGGAGAAGGAGCGGGGCGTCGACGTTACGTTCGTTAACCCAGAGCCGGGTTACGTCATTAAGACCAGTATCAACGGCGAGAAGAAATGCTTCGTTAATATTAGTAAGAGTGACACTGTAGCGAAACCTACGAGTCATCCATCTCAGGTCGAAGGGCATAGAGGATTACAATGGTCCATTCCGTACACGTTAGTACCACCGCGCGAAGATTTTGACAAAAAGAATGTCCGTTGCACAGTGTTTGATGTTGTCTTTCATCCGGACACTCTTTATCTCGCCAGTAAAAACGAACACTTTCGAGATATCGTTAACAGCACTGCTTTGGATGGGGTTGAGAATAATTTCAAGGTGTGTCAATGATACAGAGAACACCTTTTCTGTTAGTATTCAAGAGGGTACCTTTGGAGTAAATAATATTGTCTTTTTCAGGTGAAACTGGACAGGAAGAACCTGAAGTTTCCAAAGATGAACTTCAAGGGTGTTACTCAACCTACAGTTATAAGGAAACCTTCGGAGGCTCCGTCAAAGGAACCTTTAGATATGGAACCTGAAATCTATCAAAAAATAATGGCCAGTTACGATGAGAACCGTGATAGACAACTAAATCAGGAAGAGAAACCACGTTCAAGATCACCTCCACCGACAACTTATTTCAAGAAGAATGTGTCAAACTCTGAGAACAGCAATTCCAGCTACACTGTGCCAAAGTTCACGATAAAACACAGATCCTGCATAGAATTGAACGAGTTTGAAAACCATAGGAACGCAAGGATGAATTGTACAATACCACAGAAGTTGGTGATCGTCATAGAACTACCCCTTCTAAAGTCAGCAAATGACGCTTCTCTAGATGTGCAGGAACGTTCACTCTGTTTAAGAAGCGAGAAGCCAGCCAAGTACCTCTTAGAATTACCACTACCTTATCGCATTAATGCAGAAGGAGGCGAAGCAAAGTTTGACACCAAACATAAAAAACTTACCATTGTCCTTCCTGTGATTCGTACAGTAATACCATTGCGTGATAGCATAGAAGATAGTGGCGTGGACACCGATAATGGAAGTCCACCACCTTGTTCAAATGATAATGATCGTTTAAACGGTTCCGTGTCTCCATCTTCCCAAGATAGAGAAACTGCGAAAGCGCCTTTGATTAGCGATTTGATTGAAGACAGTGCAGTGTTCAACGATAGAGCTTTACGGACTAGCGATTCCGACAATTCAATAATTTCTTTTATGGACCCTAACGTTAAATATTCCTTACCGCCTTTTACTTGCAATCTATATGACAATCTCCTAGCAATTACTGTTAATGTGAAAAACGTTGATCCCGAGTCTATTCGTCATAGAACTCTGGATAATGATTCTGGCATCCACGTTCTCTTGACTTCTATCGGTGCAGGATTTTATCCAGTCTGCTATTCATTATGCCTTAAGATACATGACCATTCGGTAGATCCGACCAGTCTCACGGTTGAACCTTGGGACAATAACGTCGTGTTTACACTTTCTTTAAAAAATTCGAATGACATAGGTAGTTACAGCGTAGGCCTGAACGAGGAGTTTATGGAACAGAAAGATCTGCCAGCGGCGACGTCCCTGAAGAAGAAGTTCGACGAGCTTATGGTAACAATAGAACGAGTACTAGGAACTTTAGTATATTATTTAAGATTCTTCAGTATATTTTATTTGATTTATTTCAGGTTGCCACTGAACCAGAGACTGACCGAAGAATCGAGGTAATAGCCGAAGGGGACGATGTCGTGGTAAATATTTCTCCGAAACATATTGATTCTGACGAGGAGGGTGAAACGGGAGACGAACACATGAAAAGAGAACACAGGAAACAGCATCTGACAAAGTCAAGATCTGTCTCAGAAAGCAGTGGAGATGAACTACCCAACAGTGCTTGCAGTACGAGATCCAAGGGCATCCTAAAGTCTCGTAGGACACATGGATTGTCCCGATCGGTATCAGAGTCCAGTTTCGACGATAGCGCAATGCTTGCTTCTTCAACTGATCTGCATTATGATTCTGTACACGATTTTAATTCAGAATCCGATTGCTCGAGTTTTAAGAAGACAGTGCGATTTAACGACGTGGTGTCACGTCAATTATATAGGTGAGTATATCCTCGAAGAATCCATTTTTTATTTACAGCTATTATGGCAAGCAGGATATTCGATGTTCCTGCTTCGCAGGTCGAATTCCAGCATTTTGGGACAGCGCAAGAAGAATCAGCGTAAGTTGAAAAACAAGAAAAGAGCCCACGAGCGACGTGTGAGCGAGAGTGAAAATTCGGAGACTGAGGAGAAAGATAAGTATAAGGTCAACACGAAGGAATCTTCAGAGTGCTCGGATGGTCCCGAAACTGTCAAGCCAATCCTGAATCGTGATAAGTTATCAGAACATCGTAAAACGGCCAGTATGGAAATCGATGCGCGGAAGAACAGTACAAATCCTATACACAAGTGCAAACGTAGCAACAAAAGTAAAGAGAACGACGAGACACTGTGCGATGCGGATAAAGAAAACACTAAGGATATCGTTAAGACAGAATTCAAGAATGATCTTATATTTGATCTTGATATGTAGATGGACGTAATTCCCTCTGTTACGATAACGTAGTTTACACTCTAATATTCCCCACCACTACCGTACATATAGGGACGATATCTTTGAACGCGTTTCTTTACACAGATTTTACCGAAGCGATCAATTTTCAAAATAATATAGTTCTAGATTCAAGATTCCGCTTACTGGCACATCCGGCTAGTAATCGTGACGTCTTTTTAATAGCGATTCTCACCACGTAGGAGGATCTATTTTCGCGAATCGGTTTTGATTCCACGATCAGGTTGGTTTTTATGAGAAATTTTTTATAGTTTCATACGTCGATATACGGACCTATGTTATACAACATTAATTTGTACATACGGATGAATACTTAAATTATACGGAAGAAAAAGAATACTAAAATCATGCATTTATCAGAAATTTTTACATCGAATCGATAATAGTCGAGGAATCGAACCGCAGAAAAAAACTAAAGAAAAGTACTTATCCGATACCCAAAATCTACTTTCAAAAAGATAAAAGTCTCATCCCGCGATACATAAAGTTTAAAGAAAAGTCGTAGAATAACAATAATAAAAAAATGGCGCGTATTCAATCATGTACTTCCCAGGGGACGACAAAAGATTTTTTTTTATTTAATACGGTATACTCTTGTTCCTATTGTATTAAACGAGTGGTCACCAGATAAATAAAATATCACGTTGAAAACGTTAAAAACTATTTACCATGTGATACCCACGTCACCGCTTCTGGCGGGTGCCAAGGGCTGTAAAATAAAATTCCCTATCCTCTCTCCCTTCCTTTCTTTACCATAGAAGATGTATTGTGTGCGCCATTTAAAAAAGTGGCACTTCGTGCAACCACGTACCAAGCCCCGAGGGTTGGGAGTACCTGGTGGCACATAAAGGTGGTAAGCAAGCAGCCAGGTCGATAAGTCGTCCAGCCCACGAAACTGTGGGTCACAGGGGATGTCGTACCACCTCACGGAAGATTAAGCCAGTGAAAATGATTTAGCCCCGATGATGACGTAAACGATTTAGTTTACAACGGCACACGATGCTAAACAATATAGACGTTTACTATTGGACGTTCGTCAGAATGATTTATCATTCCGACATCCTTCCTAGCAACCGGATAAATCGTCATTTCCATACGCATCGACGTATTGATTGACGACGCAGACCCAGTATTCACCTACATAGAACGTCCTGACGACTGCGTCCACGAATCGTTCGTTATTCTTGAGACCGTCCAAAACGACGTCTGACGATTTTTGTTTCTTGAAATTTTTACCACGCTGGGTCAAGCTAACCCCCTTGTATTTCAAGAGAACATTTAACAGAGACACTGACCAGACCTGGTGCAAAGTCAGGACGGCAGTAACTGTCTCAAAGAAAGAATAAAATAATACCTCAACGCTCACCTTTACGCAACTCTTTACAGATGTCTAAAATCACAGGGTACCGGATGAAGTCTTCCCGTGACGTAGTCCTGCCAGGGAACTAGCTGATAATAAAGGTATATAGGAGCTAAAGTAAACCAGGGGTACCAGTGGTTATACGTGACGGTACCAAAGGAGCACAGTCGGGTCAGAGAGGAGGGTGGATAATTTTTGCGCGATCTATATCTGGAAACGCCTACAGGTTGCGCTGCTATTCACGGGGTACAAGCACGCGAATACAGTCATCGACCTCTTACAGTAGGCTTACAATACTAAGGAACTGACCTGGAGCAACGTTTCATTCAGCCTATCTCGAGGAAGCCTACATGGTACACCATCGTCACACTTTTGCGCCTTAACTGGTTCACTGCGGACAATGTTGCGCTATTGGCATTACACGACCGAAGCGATATTTATCGCCAGAGAATATACGGAGCATAGAGAAACGTTGATGACTGTTGGATATTGGTCGATATAAAGGAGCGTTTACAATGTTAAGAATATTTATTGGTTTTCTGTGTCATTTTCATATTTCTAATATTCCATGTGTACTTTTTTTATATAGCTGTTATATTGCTATCCAATATTGCTCCAATGCTCTTGTGGCACCTACCGGCACTCTGGATATCCAGATCGATTCCTCGTTGGAATGGTTTGCACGTATTCGTTTCGCTGGTTATGGTTTTACTCTAAATGTTACTGCTGCGGCAATCTCCAATCGGCGAGTACATATCGGTATAGTATAGCTGTGTTACTGATGGGAAAGAGAATTGGGAGGAAGTGGAATAGGTGGCGGATGGTGTGAGCAAACACGAGAGAGATTTCTAGAAAATATCGAGGGGACATACTATTGTATTTTCATAATATCCGTAATATTGTCGCATACACGTTCACCTTTATATCGACAATATAAAGAGGGCTCACTCACGAACAGTACCATTTTCTTCCTGAGACTTTTATATCCCGTGAGAGTGGCTTTACTTGGTGGTTATTGGCGCTTGTGATTCTGGCGTCTTGGAACGTTAATCGATTATCCATAATTCGTCTTTCCAATCGCCTCGTTTGCTTGGAGTAAATTTATAAAATTATATTAAATCGTTCTAATGTGATCGAGCGACCGGGTTCTCTCTGAAAGGACCTTTTGTTAAATATAATTAACCACTCACTGTATAATCCATACCCCACTGTATTGCGAGAATGATCTATTCATGGTAGTTCACAAGTATCTGCATTGAATTCACAAAAAAGGTAAGGGTACCGGAAGTACTCAACGAAAGTTGAAAGTAAGAATTCGTGCTTCTAATAAAAAGCATAGTAAAAGGTGGTGAGAACGTTTTTCAGAATCATGACCTTTGACTCGGCTAAAATCATCTCCACTGTAACTCCAAGTCACTCCCTGAAAATGACAGTTGGATTTTTATAAATTTCTCTATTTTGTGGTAGCAATGTAAACAAAAGAAAGTGTAATGAAACCTATTGACACTACAAGAGGATGGGCGCTTGCGTCGCGACGTACCTTTAGCAGGGCTAGAGAAGTGAGTGTCACATATCTCCCGCAGTTTCCCACATGTTGCGCTTGGATGGTGGGGCGCAAGTCCGCCAGGAGCCCGGGCCATCAGGATAGGGCATCTTTCCCCTCGTTTCGACGACGAGTTAGTTACGCGGATGCCATCGGACGGTTCGTGTGTCGCACTGGTGTTCACCCTTAGCTTAGCCAGGACGTCAACGATATTCAATTCTACTTTCGAGAAAATTCATTCCCTGGATTTGGTAATCATAACAGTGCTGCGCGTACCCTCGTGATACATTTCTGTGCTCGTAGTGAGTGACAAGTGAACGAGGATGAGGAGACACTGAGGATCTTCGTATATCAAGAAAGGTAACGTTGACAGACATTTTTATACCAGCATCTCATAACCCTAAAACACTTAATGATTATTTATTGCAAGGTAAAAGCGTACGTTCCAAGCACGCTGTGTTATTTGATGGGAGAAAAACTAATTTTATAACCTCAAAGAGTACTTTGTTTACCGTGACAGCGGGGATACGGAATTTATCTTTTTCTTATGACACTTACGTTTGGGGTTTATGTCGCTATCGTTACGCATGGTTGACTGTAGAGGAATGTGTAGGTATCCCGGGAATTTTCCTGGTTGCAATTTATTTTATTGGGTCAGGAAAGGTACGATCGATCTTGCACCTTCGATTCTTCTCCCTCTTCACTCCAATTCACTGTCACTATCCGTTTCTCTGATTCTTCGCCACCTTTTATCACTCTATTTATTTTAATTGGAATAACTGTAAACAGTGACCGATCGAATGGCAGTTGCTTGTCTGATCGATCGAGGAGAGCATTACTAGCTATGTGTGTTTAGTCACATTGGATCTTGTGGGGAGTTTAAAAATCATCCTCATCCCTACTCTACTCGCTATCCCGGCCGATACGTTTTATTTTTATTTGCAAAATATAATTTTGGACAAGGGCCATGCCGCGTGTTAACACGCCTCATGCTTTAGTAGTGAAGATTAGTCGTTTCATGGCATCCGCGTGAAATGGATGTCATGCACCGCAATAGTGAGTTCGACAGTGAATAAAATATATACACAAGTGTCCATGAGTCCACGGTGATATAATCGGAAAATATGAAAAGACTAAGTTTGTATACTTTTATGAAACTTTGAATTAATTCAATTGATTAGCAATTTTTAATGGCTCTTCAATTTCTTCTAATATTCTATATCTGTATCCAATAACGTGAAAACTTCGTAGACTCGATAGCTTATCTCGCGAATGATGAAGTTCCCGTCGATAACCGACATGGCTCTGAACTATTGATCAACCTGGCCAAACTCCTCTGACACTATGTAACTTCAAAATCCCAACCGATCACTGGATGAATCTCTATATTTCTGAAATTGACCAAACTATTAATTCCTTGGCTCCATTGTTTACCTGCTCCCAAGGGAAACTCGAGCAGGATGCTTGAGCTTACAGCTAGTCAGTCAACGGAAGCTTTTCAAACAAACAAGGACCGTCGGGCACTCGATGTGAAGTGAAAATGCGCTTTGAAATTTCTTGCCTAGCAACGAACCGTATTCCGTATGCATGGTTAAAAGCACGTGCCGTTAGAGGAGCATATAAAAGAAAGAAGACAAAAAAGTGATGAGTAAAAATGAAAATGAAAAAAAACGAGGAAGCACTACGCGAAGTACAGTACCATACAAAGATTCCTGCTCGCTGGTTTCCTGACACAAAGAACGATGCCGGAGAAAAATCAGCAAGCCTCGACGGAAAATTGTCGGGGACGTAATTTTATTTGGGCTCGTAGCGTTGACTCGTTTGTGTACATAGGCCATGGCTTCGATTAACCTCTTTTCCGTGTAAACCTATGTACACATTACGTGTGTACTGTATATCGTTCTAGCTGGATGTTTTATATTCTCTCACCTACTTTGTTCGTCATGATTTTATTTTTGCGGAGTGACATGCATCCGAAATTCTCAGCAGATCCTTGCTACATAAATAATATCATTTTCATTTATCCTCCAGGTCGGGGCGCCTTAAGGCGCGGCGGGGCGGCCCCAATGCCGGCCAGGAAGGGCCTCCTCGCTCCTCAAAACACCTTCCTCGATACTATAGCCACTCGCTTCGATGGAACCCGTAAGTACCCTTTTACCATATTGCTTAAGTGTACGAAAACTCTTGAAAATTTTATCCACGCATCGCGGTAGGATACAATTTTTTGAAAAGTGTAAAAATGATTTTTGATCTAACGAATAAAGAAAAAAAAGAAAAATGAAAGAACTCTGGTTACGAAATCGACTCACCTTAATTCTCATTTTATGAAGTCTCATTAAGGCGGATAAAATTCATCCTGATCTACCGGGATCGTTTCGTAAAATCGTATTACACAATATTACCTTTCGGCTTACACAGAATATTTCTCTTTATAAATCGCCTTTTAATCCCCAACGGATAAATTCGGAATGGGCCGGAAAGGCTTTTGGATTTCTCCTGAATACATAACACATACATATATATACATATGGAATAGCTGTCTATGATATATCCTCGGGGAAGATTATTCATGGATTACATCTAAGGATTATTTTGCATGACCTAATGGAATGACCAACCGAACGACTGACAAACTGCTTGGCCGTAGAAAACAACCGATCGGCTTTTGCCTAAAGCCATACGCAATACGGATAGACTTATTTTTCATTATCTCTCGTATACGATATCGCACGCGCTAATGTTTGCTCGGGAATCTGATGAATCGAACAGATGGTACGCGAAGTGACGTATCTGATGCAAGCTATTGTTAACGTAAATATTAAACCCTCTTCGTCGCTCCCTTCTAACCGATCAGAAATTCCCTGATTACGTCACAACGAAAATTTTCGATCGTCTACAATTACAACTCATTCCCTTAATTCCCAAATTTTATTTCATCCCCAACAACGACCCTTCGTAAAAACAAAAATTACTGTGACTTTACCTACCCAGACGTTACGCACGGCCCTCGAAAAGTCATGCAGGTCACCGAGAGTCGTTAGGTGGACGTATCCCCAAACGAAATCACGATAAAATCATAGCCGGTTAAATCAATATTTTCCTCGTTTCATTAATCATGAATGCAACCTTTGTTTTGGCTGGAGAAACGAAGCGCTAGAAAAAAAGAGACGCGCTAAAGACGAAAAGTAGAACGGAAAATCCCCAGATACCCTATTTTTGAATATTATCAAAAACTTTGTTGTTGCTCAAAAATAGAACGTGAACAATGAAAGTTGTCAGGAATAATTTGAATGGTGTAAGCAAACCTCGGGGGGACATCCTCTCGACGAAATTCACCAGGCGGTTTCGAAGGCAAACCGATCATAAGAAGGAACACTCGATGATCGACATCATCGCCGGAAGTGGTTTTTACAAGTTTTTCTTGGTGATTTACGAGCAGCCTATTACGACGTGTCGAAGATGAGACTTCGCAGTGGCAGTTGAACGTATACCAGAAATACTAGACGAAATTGCCAGGCTGTTTCAAACAACTTCTAGACAAAAGATTTTCTTATCTACTCCCCCCTCCCCCCCCCCCCCCCCC